AGCTGTTCCTAAGCTTCTTTGAGTCTCACTTATTTGGGTATTCAAAAAAATAATTTGTTCAGCTTTCAAATATTCATTTTAGAACACAAAAAATATATCATTCACTATAGTTTATCTGACTTTTTAATCTACTTATAAATAAATTAGAAAGTCAGATAAACTATAGTGAACGATATATTTTTTGTGTTCTAAAATGAACACATTTTCAGAGCAGAAATATGATGTTTCCATACAAAGAAACACTGAAAGATCATTATTCTATTGGTGCCAAAACCAAATATCTGTAGTGAGGCTTATTGGTTATAAACATGATTATTAGCATTTGTAAAGTTGATTGGTAAATCAACCTTGAAAGTCAGAGAGAGAAGGTAGGGTCTTTTCTGGTAGTTTTCATGGTATTACATCGTAATAAGACTGATAATATATTTTTTGTGCATCATGAGTTTTGATGTCTCATAAATTGACTGAGGCTTTGTGCTTTGTAAATGCAGTTGTACTCTTCTTACTGGAAAATCCATATGGAGTGAGTGAAGTAAGGTGTGACAAAATTATCAATTTTATGATGTAATAATACACAAATTACTGAACAAAAAACGACATTCTCTATGCTTTTTTGAAAATTAAATCTGTGTTGCATCAGCAGGAAATGGACCGCCAGTCTGGTGATCCCAAATTTGTTGAAGACATAAAGAAAGATTTACATAGACAGTTTCCTTTCCATGAGATGTTTGTTAACAAACAAGGGCATGGGTAAGTTAAAGCTATTGCCTCAAGAATGAAATTGTATTTCATCCATTTTATACTTTGTATTTTGTAAGCAATTCATATTTTGGATGATTGAGGAAGTTCTCATGTTTTTTTTTTTCTTTTTTTTAACACAAAGATACCACTGATTTCCTGGCATTAGGCATAATTTCCTTAAACTATTCCATTATTGATACAAAAATACTCTAACTGCATGTTTATAGAAGAATTATCACATTTTTTGTGTTGACACGCAAACATTTTAATTTGAAAAAATATGTAAAAAAATAACATTTGACATGTATAAGACTGTTTTTTAGATACATGGACCATTTTTTAGTATTGTTTGTGTAACTTAAGTTAAGTAACTGGAAGAATAACTATTTCCTTCTTTATTTACTATGCTTTTTATTTGAATCTTGTTTTGGAAATTATTTTTAACGAAGTCTTTGCTTAAATAAAATCCTAATTATGACTTAAATATGCATGAGCATGGCTTAAAACTAAATATTCATAAACAAATTACTGTGGGTCACTAATGTCATTAGCACATATTTTTATGATAACTTCAAACATCAAAATTACTTACAAGTAAATACAATCTCATCTCTCCCATTTTTTATTCTGCTTGCAAGTTATAGTTTCTCTGGTGTTAAGTTAACAAAATTTAACTAAAAACATAATTCTGATTGTGTTTCAATAATACTTCCTCAATAATATTTTAGAAGTGGTGTTTTAGAATTATGTAATATTCATTTAGCTTATAAATAAAATGGAAAAAATTGTTCCAACTTTCATTTCTGTGCAGCTCCATAGTCTTATCTGTAAATAGCATGTTTAGAAAGTTTTGTAGAATTTTTCTGTTAATACTAAAACTTAAGTTTATATATACTAAGAAACTATTTTCCTTTGACAAAATAATGGACCATGTCTGGTTTTTCACATAATTTACTGCTCTATCTGTGATTTTATAATGTCAAAGACCTCATTTGTCATGTATTGGTAATAAGTCTAACCTCTCCTAAAGTAACTCAACTATTAAAATAGCTAGAGACTAAGGTGGGAAATGGTTGGATAGAACAGATAATAATATATCTACATTACTATGGAGTTAACAAAGTGGTACAAGCAATAAATTTTGTGTTGCTGACATATTAGTCAGCCAGAGTTCACATAGGGTGAACAAAGGATCCATATGCAAAGTTTTGAAGACTTAAGACCAAAGTACAGAATTTTTTTATAGTTTCTTTTGATTTGATTTTTGTACCTGATAATAGTTTTATATTATATGTTTAGTGTGCCTGTCTGAAAGCTACAAGAATATTATGTGGTATTCTAAGGGGAGATCGATTTCTTCCAAGAGTGAATAAAATAGGTTTGCTAAATAGCAGGAGATTTGACCAGGAAATGTTGCAAAGTAATTATGTATTTCTCTGAAACTAACCTAGTGTGTGAAAAGAAAGAGACTGGACATATTTGTAAACACATAGTAAAAATTATCTTTGTTTAATAATGCAAGATATCAGTGTGTATGTTGACATTAAGGATGTTCTCCTTTACTGGAGAATGCTAGCTTGTAATCTTTGTAGTTCTGTGTACCTGTACAAAATCTATGAATTATGCAGATATTCTCTATGAAATTTATTTACTCTGTAATTCTCCAATGCCATAATCTTGTTGCAGACTGAGAAAGCATCATATAATATACTTAAACTTACAACATCATACTTTCCCAGGGTGAATAACACTACCACTTAACTAAATATTTCCTATTAGAAAATAAGGGAAGTTGTAACCTCAAATTTTACCTATCCTATCATTGGAGAAAACAGCTGTCTACTTTCTTACCCAAGTGCAACTTTACGGCTAGCTTCCCCACAGGAAAAACTGGTGTAATATCATAGGAATGATACAAAACAATGACTTGTTAGAACAAAAGTAACTTGACAACTTTGTTGACCATGTGTTATGTAAAAACTACATATATCTAGAATATACAAGGTTCTTCTGCTTTAGCCAACCTGGCCTGTTAACTTGGGGGTAGGTTATATTTTGAGAGTCTTGGGTTCAATACCCATTGCCACCAAACTGTGTTTGTTATTGCAAGGCTTCTAAGGGTATTTGCCACTGTCATTAATTTTGAACTGCTGACTAGATTTAAGACAGCTGACTGGAAGCACCCACTGCCAACTCTTAAGCTATTTAAATGTTAAATAAAGTGTAAATTTACTGTTTGATTGTTGTTTTTTGACATCAGGTCATGTTTATAATAATGTAAATGTATTCTTTAATGCTTTATAAACAGCCATGGATGTAGATGAGGGGTCCAGACCCCACCCCATTTTCTTTTCTTTCAGAAATTAACTGAAAAAAAACAACAACAGCCAGATATCTTTACACAACCATATAGTATCAAAAAGAAGCATTATGGGTCAGATTTTATTTCACTGGTCTAATAATTAAGGTAAAATCTTTATTCAGGTTTTCTGAAATCAACACAGCTGGAGTTTACAGCAATCTGGTTATAGCATCATCCAATAATTAACTGTTTGTAAGCTAATACAATAATATGAATGTCAGTTAAACATAGCTGTAATAATTTTTTATGTCTTGGCTTTTTCTAGAGATGCTAACAATTTCTCTAGATTTTAGAGGTATCTTTTCATCAAAGTTAGTATTACTTAAGACATTTGCAGCTCTTATAACTTATAGAAGGTACAAAATCGATTTTTCATTGTTTACAAACTAGAATTCTCATGAAAAGGATGTTTTTTGTATTACTGATGTCTAAAATAAACAAAAATCCAAGTGGTATGACTATGTAAACAATGGCTTTTTAAGCAAAATTGAATTAATTGTTTTAACTTTTTATCTTCATATTAATTAATACTAGAAACAAAGACATAAACCTTGAAATCACTGATTTATAACCTGACTGCTTGTCATGTCTGCCTTTGAGATTTTGCAGATACCACAAGCCTTGCACTATATGTTCTATTTATTCATTGTAGTGAAATTTGCACTGCTTGTATTCCAGTGTTAACTTTCACTCACTTTACTTTATTTCAACCAACATTGCCTGGAGATCTGGAGAATTCCATTAATAGCAATGAATTATTAAGTGATCATGAGTACTAATTTCTCCTGAGGTTCTGGTGATGTTGCTAACACTAACTCTACTTTGTCTCTGTCCACTGGAGGCTCATTGTCTTTGGAGTATGTTACTGCCATTGTTAAACATGCTGTAGGTTTGGTAAGTCCTTTATTGTCTCATCTCCCTGTCCCAACATAGGAAACTGAACCTGACCATGAGGATGGCAATGTTGATAGCTCTTTCATCCTCTTGTGCTTCCATAAGGCTCCTCTTTACCTGTAGAGGACAATGTTCCTCCTCCAAATTTCTTTATGAATTTGATTTCTTATAATTTTTCTTTACTTTCTCTTTCATCTATGTCATTTGATTGTTTTTGTTATTTACTATGTGCCTCTTTTGGTCAGGATTATTTGTTTTACCTTATTCTCCAGACAGATGTACATTCTGACACATTTCTGGATCAGCTTCATTCACACTTTCAAATACTTCATCCTCCTTGACTCCAGGATTCCTTTGCCATGGCTTATGGCAGTTCTTCTCTTCCATTCTTGGATTTCTAATCCCTGGAATCCCTTTTATTTGTTTCCCATAAATCCTTCTAATGATAAATTATTCTGCTTTTGCCTCTTTATTACTTATCTCCTTCATTACTTGTCTTCTCTTCATCTCCTCTCTGCAGCCCTGCATCATGATCCTGATAGTTTTCCTAGAGATCTATGGCTGGTACTTTTCAATACCTTGACCAGGGTTTTGTCTCTGCTTACTTAATTCCCTTGTTGTGGGGACCTTCTGGAATGTGACACTTTTCTCTCCGATGTTGGTCTTCCCCATTCTTGCCTCTTACTTTCATCTGGCTCTTTTTCTTTGCCCTGAAGTCTTCAGTGGTGTACATAACAACATGGAGACTTGGACTTAGGCTGCCTAACACCAGTCCTCCTCTTCTTCCTTGAAGTCTCATCTCTCCCAACATCATGAATCTAAGCATGTTTCCTAACCCCATGAACCTTTCACCTATCTTTTCCCAACTCTTGTCCCAGTACTTCTTGCTGTTCCCCCCTTCCTTTTGAATTGACTACCCCTTTGTACATTATTGACTCAGAATCCATAGAGGTATGTCTTGTTTCTTTCTGCAGACCTGTGGACTCCAGTTATAGCTGTTCAGTTGTTCATTTCAGGTTTACCAGTTCCTCATCTTTTCCTTCTTTGTTTCCTGTTCCTTCCCCTCCTCCTTTCTGTCCTCAGCACCTTCTGCATTTTGAGGCTGCAGTATTGGATCTTTTGGACAAGAGAGCTATCAAGGAGGTTCTTTGCCTTTCTCCCTGGTTTTATGTTTGTCTTTTTGGTTCCATTGATGACCTTTTTTTGTAAACCACTATATTGTGTGAGATTTTTCCCCTCTTTGGTGATCCTAACACCCACCCCCACCCCCCCATGGATGACCAAGGTCAACATCTCAGGCATCTTTTCCACATATTCCAATTGCCCAGTCCTCCAAATGTTTTTTTCAATTTATTCTCCGGGATGAAGTTTACTAGTTTCAAGTTCTCTGCTTTGACATTGCTTCATCTCCTTATGTATTCAATTGACTCATATTGGAGCATTTGCTTGCTACATCCACAAGTATTGGACTTTATTTCCACTATTGCTCCTCCTTGCCTCTTTTCAGGAGACCTCCTTCTCAGCCATGTCATTTCTCACTCCAACCCAGTACTTAGTTCACCTTAGAGTCTCTTTCAGCTCTCAACTCCATTGGTCTCAGTTTTTTCTCATAAAGCATCTGGTTACCTCAACTGTTACCTTATCTATCATTCCTGTACAAGAGGTACTATCTCTTTTGTGGACTCTCAAACATTTTGTCCCTGTAGGCCGAGCTCATATAAGGCATGTTCATTGGATACTTAGTGTCCAAAGG